ATACACACACATATATGTATATATATACATATATATATATATATATATATATATATATATATATATAATAAGTACAACAACTATGCACAATATAGACAGGGTATAAGTATATTAACAATGTCTAGCCCATTAGCATATGAAAAATTCAGAGAAAATACTCCATTATCTATTCTTTCTTGATGAGTCTAAAGTCATGTAACTAATTTACTTTCTATTCTAATTTGCATTATCAAATTATCTTTTAATGTCTTTCAACCCTATAACATTTAACACAACTTTAGTGAGTTTCTTTACTGATTTTGGTAAACAAGGAACACTATTATCTAGTTCTCAACTCCCTCAGAGACCTGAGAAGGAAATAATATGAACTGAGTAAACAGAAAATTTGAGTAAGTGACTTCCAAACAGTGTTAGAAATTACAAAAACAGTTATCTGCATGGACAGTCACCCAAGATAGCTCTGCAATTTGGGGAATCCATCTTATAGGCCTAGCATATCTAACAGACATTTCTGTGACCCAGGATATTCTGAAGAACTGGACGCCCTTGTCTTGGCAAAGATTGCCATCATATTTTTTGGTGTTGTGTTTGTCTAGTTTGGACAGTATACTGTCAGCAGTTGAGGCAAGGGAACTTTCTTACCCAGTAGCTTACCTTTGCCACAAGAAAGTAAACTCCATGTGGAGGTTCTTCAATGTCCATCATCTTCTCCAACATAGATTGGTGCTGCCAGGAGCAGACATGTCTTTTTTTCACAAAAAAGAACCTATGTTATTAAAACATGTTAAATGCCATATTCTGTAGATCTCTGAAGTTCTTGAAGACAACTTGTTTTTCTAAAATATCAATTTGACCTTGTAAACATATCAAAAGTGACTACATGTTCAATTGTAATAGTTGACTAATTCTAAATTACATTTCCTTATTTTCTTATGTAGTTGATAATAATAACTTTTAAGGACTAGAGATTTGTATTACATTGTTAAATGAGCTGCATAGATACACTACCTTGAACAATATTAGAAATTTATTTACAGTATGTTTTAGCAAAATTAATATCAAAGTTCCAATCCAATGTAAAACATTTAAAACTAGTAGTTGCTTTTAAGAGTATATTCAATAACCTACATTTTCATCTTATCATATCTATGTCCTCCATTTATTCTTTTCAGAGTAGATTCAATAATCTATCATTTTTATCCTATCATATCTAGATTCCTCTTTGTTTCCCCATCCAAACCTTCAAGTTTCTTCCTGATTATAAGCAACAACATTTTGTAACCAATCCCCCTAAACAATGACAGGTGTTCATAACCCAATGAGTGACCAAAAACCACTTACCCCACCTCTTGGGATTGTGGGCATCATGTTCTTAAAGTAACTTCTTGCTCACTGGGGGCAATGACATCTCTAGGGCATCCTGAAAGGAAAATTTGGGTTAATTGTCAAGATGTTTCAGTTGTTGTCCAGACTTTGTGTAATGGGTAAGTACAGGACTTGTTTCAAATCCTGGCAAAAATACTCTGTAATGCTGGATCATCTCAGCTAGCCACCTCAAAATTGTTCCAAGCAGTGTCTGTGAGGCTAGATCATCTCAACAAGTCACCTCAAAGTTTTCATAAGCACTTTGTAGTCCAAAGCTGATTTTTATAGTTGGGGAGATCAGAGAGAAGAAGGAGCAAGCCACTGCTACACCTTACCTCCTTAGCATCTCAGCAGACAAGAGGGCAGGTTCCTCTTTCTCACTGCTTATATCCTGTTTCAGCCCGGCTACCTCACTACCTGCCTATCTATACAGACCTACAGACCTCTATGGTTAGCTAGTGGAAAGCTCCCTTCTCTGACCCCCAGACAGGATTCATTTGTACAAGCAAGATATCGTCACAGTTGTACCTGTGGTAATATATTACACTGTTGGTAACAAAATAAAAGACTGTTTTTATTTTTTTATTTTACATATTGATCCTAGTTTCCTCTACCTCTCATACTCCCATGCCCCTCAACCCCACCTCTCATCCCATCCCCACCCATTCCACAGGGAGGGGGAGAATTTCCAGGAGGGATCATCAAAATCTGTCAAGTCATTTGGAGTAGGGCCTAGGCCCTCCTTTCTGTCTCTAGGTTAAGGGAGTATCCCTCCAGGGGAACTTGCTCCCAAAGTCCTTTTGTGCACCAGGGATACATCTTGGTTCCACTTTCAGAGGTTCTGTAGACTGCCCAGACCTTCTAAATGAACTTGAATTCAGCTGGTCTGGGTCAGTCCAATGCTGGTTTCCCAGCTATCAGTCTGGTGTCCATGAACTCCCCATTGTTCAGGTCAGCTGTCTCTGTGGGTTTCTGTAGCCTGGTCATGACCCCTTTGCTCATCACTCCTCCCTCTCTGCAACTGGATTCCAGGAGTTCAGCTCAGTGTTTAGCTGTGGGTATCTGCTTCTGTTTCCATTAGCTACTAGATGAGGGTTCTAGGGTGGTATATTAATTAGTTATCAATCTCATTATCAAGGTAGGACATTTAAGGTAGCCTCTCCACTATTGCTCAAATTGTTAAATGGGGTCATCCTTGTAGGTCTCTGGACATTTCTCTAGTGTCAGTTTTCTCTTCAAAACTTTCATGGCTCCCTCTATTATGGTATCTCTTTTCTGGCTCTCATCTATTCATGACAAGACTCAAACTTCCCAGTTCCTCATGTTCTCCTCTTCCCTCTTCTTCTCCCCTTCTCTTTCTCCTAACTCCCTCTCCACTCACTGCTTCCACCCAGCTACCAATATGCTCAGGAGAATCCTATCCCCTTCTGTAGGGGACCTTGTATGATTCTCTTAGGGTCCTCCTTGTATCCTATCTTTTCTGGTGGTGTGAATTGTAGGCTGGTAATCCTTTGCTCTATGCCTAAAATCCATATATGAGTGAGTACATACCATTTTCCTCTTTTTGTGACTGGGTACCTTACTCAGAATGGTTTCTTCAAGTTCCATCCATTTGCCTACTAATTTCAAGATTCCATTGGGTTTTTTTTTCTGCTGAGTACTATTCAATTGTGTAAATGTACCATATCTTCTTTATCCATTCTTCAGTTGTGGGGCATCTAGGTTGTTTCCAGGTTCTAGCTATTACAAATAATGCTGCTATGAACATAGCTTAACAGATGTCTTTCTGCATGAATGTGGATCTTTTGGGTATATGCCTAAGTGTTGGATTGTCAGGTACTGTGGTAGACTGATTCCCATTTTTCTGATAAAAGACTTTTGTGCTCACTCTGTTTGGGCTGCTTAGCCCATAAGAATCACATAAGACCAAATAAAGATGTATTTGTATTCATGTATACATATTAATATATTTGTGTTATAATTTATATACATGTATGTAGACACACACATATATGTGTATACATATATTCTTATTCTCTACATTAGTCGATTATTAAAATCTCAGATTTTATTTAGGCTTGCTGCTCAATTCTTGATGATTTTATGAATGTATATCTTAGGTACAATTTTATACTTACTTCATTATTTTTGTACTTCATTATTAAAATGTACTGTGCAAACTCTAAAATGAAGTTCTGCATGATCCTTGTAGCATTTAGGTGAGTCTGGCAATTGCAAATATAAACAATCACCTTTCAGAGATGTGAGTGGATGTGAGAAATGGGCTGTAAGAGAAGTCAGGTGCTGAGACTTAGATCACAGAAAGCAGTGATAACAGAGGAAGCTTGGGCAGCTAGGGTGGTGTCAGTGAGTTATGCATGAGGCATACACTTAGACATTTATCAATCAGTATTAATTGTGTGTCTCTAGGCATGTTCACAGGGACTTTTAGGAGCTGACTGCAGCAACTCAAATAGAGTTCAATATTTACTTTTAGCTGGCTGTGAATAGGTCAACTCAGCCAGTCTTACAGTGGTCTGAAATTAGGAGTAGGACAGACTAAGTGAGAAATGTCAACTGCCCAGTGTATGGCTTGTAAATGACATCACAGGCATGAAAAGCATGAGCACTTTGTCTAGCTTGCTACTATGATTAGAGTTACTCTTAATGAAGACTGCACTTAGTTAGTAAATAGGTCATCACCAAAACATCCTTAAAATCACAAAAGATTCTTAGTAATATTGGTATTTTATGTAAGTTATAATAAGTGTACCTATGATTATAGACTATCTTTGTTTAAGGCAATAACCCTATAATGGGTCAGTGTGATGTTTGTTCTTCATTACAACTTGAGGAATTGCCCCCATTGATGGCTAATTGATGGAAAAGGGTGGAGCTCACAGAAGACTGGTAGTTCTGGGCTATGCATGAGGGCAGGTTGGATGAAAGCAGGAAGTGAACCAGTGTTTCACTTCCTGTCTTCAGCTTCCCTTAGGTTGTTGTTCCGACTTCCCTTAGTGAGGGACTGTAACCCTCATGCCAAATAAAGCCTTTCCTTCCCAAGTTGCTTTAGGTCAGTATTTCACCACAAAAGCAGGAAGCAATCTTGGGCAGGGAGGTTGAAAATTATTTGTGTTTAAACAAGCTTCATAGGAAATCAAATTAAACATACAGATGGAGAATACTGTTCAGAAATGATTTCCAGGAAAGACTAAAGTTCTTTCATGAATTGGCTCACTTTTTCTTCGTGGGCATTGAGAATCCTGATATTCTGTTTCTTTCTAAATTTTGGCTCTCAGAGCTCAGAACTTAATATGCAACTCAATTATCTTAACCATGTGGGGGTATAACAACTAACCTATCTCTAAAATGTTATTCATCTTCCAGTTCCCATTCTTCCTGGCCCCAAATATTATAAACTATGTTTCCCTTAAGTGACACATAGTGATTGGACATTGTCATGGAGCCCGAACTTTTCAAGACATTGCCTGTATTTTCACCTGTTACTTTCTATATGCATTTCTCTAAGCCGTTACAATTGTTTTGAGGAAAATGGATGAATAAACACCCCATGCTTCAGACAGAAAACCTGCTCAGTTCTTCTTGTGTAACTGCTCCTTTCTCTTTTTGTGAAGGCCACATGTTTGCAAAGAGGAGAAGCTGACAGTAGTAGGGCTGTCACGCCCATGCACCCAAGCTTTCATAGACACCATCAAGTTCTGGAAACAAGGTTGTACAGGCTCAAGGTGGTGTGTGGCATATGAGAGAAGGTAAGGTGATGTCCTAACTGCTGTAATGATTAAAACTCAAAAGTAGAAGCTTCGTCTATACCTAAATACTTTATCCAGTGAACTGTAGTAAACAGTTGGATAATTAAGTAAAGAGGCTAAGGTCACTTACCAAGAACATTCACAATTACATAGTTTCCTTCAGCAGTGGGATGGACACTTATTGTATGTTAGACCTCACTTATGTGTGAACTATTTTCAGTTGTAGACACTAATTTTACCTCAGGATATGGTATACCATTGAAAGCTGAAGATCAGAAACATGACAGAAACAAGGCATATTGTGTTGGTTTGCTAAATTTAGCTCAACTTGTTCCAGGATTTCTACAGCTGTGAACCAACATTTGACCTGCCCTTGTCACTCTGGAGCACTTTGAAACCTACAGACTCTTTAACTTTATTATGGCCTTTGAATTAGGATCAACCCAGCAGGCTGCAAGACGAGAGAAAGCAAGTGTCCACAATGCTTTGTAAGAGTGCAGGTTTCATGTAGACTTCATTTTTTCCCCTAAGTTTTAAAATAGTTTCACAAAACATCTAAAAGCCTCTGGATATAAATGTTTGCTGATGGGTTGGATTTTATGAAAATGAATCAAATGGATCTAAATTTATGATAATTCATAATAATAAAGTATGTTTTTAGGTTAATGAATTCATTACTACTACTATCAGCAGTGAAAAGTTAGGGTGTTTCTAAGTAACTAAGCTTGCCATTATACAATCATGGTAACAGTTACAATACAAATCATTTGTAACTGTAAATATGGGTACCAGCTATACATGTGTGTATTTTTATCCTTTAGATGAGTACTCTTTGGGGGGGGTCCTGAAGTCAGAAAAATTTCTCTAGTCGTTACTTGCTTTGTGGCCTTAAGCTAAATTCAATATTTCTCTGTGCTTTAGTATGTAAACTTGCAAAATAATGGCGTGCATGGATAGCATGAGGAGTACTGAAAACATAGTTTACACATGTAGTGTAATGCTTAATATTTCCCAAGGTACTCAGTATGTGTGAATTTACTTATCATAAAAACTTAGGATACATGCTTCTAATACACATAATCTATTGGTTAGAGAAATGTGTATGTGTATGTATACATGATTGTAATATATATGAATTTATTAGAAGTGTGTGTGTGTGTGTTGTGTGTTGTGTGTGGTATGTGCATGGGTGCCCATGCCATACCCGTCCATGTGCACACACATGACATGACACTTATGTGGTGGTCAGAGGATAGCTATGGGTGTTGAATCTCTCCATGTTGTTTGATGCAAGTTCTCTCTTGTTCACTACTGACTTAGCTGGCCAGTGATGCTCCAGAGGTTCTCCTGTTTATGTCTTCTATCTATTCCTATCTACTAAGAGTGCTGTGGTTATAGACACCTTCACTACTGAATCCAATCTTCATGTGTATTCTGGGTATTGACCTGGGGTTACTGACTTGGTGGGGAAGCCCTTTACCAAGTAAGCCATTTCTCTAGCCCTAGAAATTGTTTTTGAAAATGGTTTTTCATTTTAATTCTCTTTAATACCTCAACATGATTAAATTGTTATAAATGGTGATCTGAACCAAAGAAAATCCTCAGCCATGTAGATGATTATAATTGTGAGAAACAAACATGGCTATGTATCACATGGTTCAGGTGTTTATACTCAAAAGCTTGATAGCTTAACAATTCTGTCTGTGGCACTGATATAAAGGGGCAGCAGTGTAAGAAAATAATTGATGTCTTGCCAAGCATACCCTTTATTGTTTGTATATACATCTAGTCATATCCTAATTGGAAAAATATACACAAAAATACTAGGCTATATTTCAAGATTTTGAATAATTAAATGTGATAAACAATGCTGAAGCCAATATACTCTGTTTGTAGCAATAAAGAGAGTTGACATAGAGGAGAGAATTTGGAGGAAGTGGAAATACAAATTGGCCTTGAATAATGAGGATTTAGGCTAGGATATGGGACAAAGTACATGGTGGAGGAAAAATGAGCTAGACCATCAGGGATAAAGCATGTACAGGACTTAGATTTCATAGAGAGGAAATCAGCATGCTTTGAAATGTTTGGTACCACAGTCAGCTGACAGGTCAACACTGTGGTAGCCTCTGCCCCTTCCTCACTGAGAGGCCTCTGACACCATCCCCTATTGTAATTGCTTCATCCCAAGGGAACTTTTCACACTGCATTTACACTTTAAATAGAGATTTTATTCTTATTTTTAAGTGTGTGCGTGTGTGTGTTTGTGTGTGTGTGTCTGTCTGTCTACATGTCTGTGTTTGTACATGTGAACGCTGTGTCTGCAGAAGACAGATGAGAGTGTCAGATTTCCTGGAGCTGGAGTTACAGGCAGTTGTAAGCTGGTGGAAATCCTATACAAGAGCTCCAAGCTGTCTTTCCAGCTCACATATGTGCTTCTTAATCTTCCTAGACTCATACCTAAAACTTATGTTGATTACATGTGTGATGTAGTAGTTATATACTATATACAAAGTATATAACTATAGCTATCCATCCCCTCTTTTGTCTATTCCCCAGTATATATGGCAGGGTTTGAAATGGAAGAAGACATTTTTATAACCATGAAATGATAATTTTGCCACCAGAGAGAGGCACAGTACTTTTTCCTGATTCCTATTCTGTGTTCTATAGGACCCGCTACTACACTGTCTATAGGCAGGTGTATGTCACAGAGCACAAGACAGTCTTCAGGTGTTGCCCTGGTTGGAGTCGATGGAATGATGAACCAGGCTGCCTCACTTGTAAGTTGTAATTCTTCCTGCCAAGTTTTGTTACTACGGAATGCTTCTGCTTCCCCCACAAGATGCCTATCTTATGCCTGCATTTTCAGAAGCACCACAGATTCAGAGCATTGCTTGAATCTAGTGATTCTCAACCTTCCTAATGCCACAGCCCTTTAATATAGTTTCTCATGTGGTGGTGACCCCCAACCATACAATTACCTTTGTTACTAATTCATAATTTTGTACTACTATAATTTTGCTAGAGTTCTGAATTTTATAGTAAATATCTGTTTTCTGTTAGTCGTAGGTGACCCCTGTGAGGGGTTGTGACACACAGGTAGCAAGTCACTGCTCTACAGTAGACTAATGACTCACAGGTGATATGTGGGGAAATGCATTATGAAAAAACCTGTTAAGCATTTTAATGATGGGTTGCAGCCCAGGACCCATGAAAGCTGCTGTATATTCTGTCTGTTTAGAGGACAGTTGATTTAAAGGCAGAAAGGCTTCCCTTGATGTCCATCTCATCTCTCTGTCTGCCCCCTTCCCATATCATCAAATCTGTAATCCACAGTTGATTCAAAAGTCCAGAGGGAAATCACTGGATTAAATCTGGATGGGATTTCCTCTTCGTGGGTTTGTCATGATTAATTGCAGAGCTCTGGAGGCAGCTTACTTGTTAAGACAAGGTTTGAACTCTGTTTACAAACCTCTGGTGGCAGGATTTCAGAAGCCTCAGAGTCTGGAGTTTATAGCCCTCAGGCAGCAGAACTAGTGGCATTACACAGCTCACCAGGCTGTGAGAAATAGCTCTGCTTAGTGAGCCCTTTACCTGCATTATGTGCCTAGGGTGACTGGGAAGTCCCTAGATTGTTTCTGCGAGTCTAATCAATGCAGCCCCAGAGCACAGTTCATCTCTCCTGCCTCTGTGCACCATAGGGAGTTGGCCAGCGCCCTGCCTTCTTTCCCTGTGAGCTTTCTGCTCTTACAATATATTGGAGAAGTTTTGTTGTATGCTTCCTGTATTAAGCAGGTATGGTGTCAAGTGGGGCAAGTGTGTTTACACTCAGGCCACTATAGCATGTTGGTTTAAGATCATTGGAAAGACATGCCCACAATACTATCAAAACTATGTTATAAAGTCCAGGAAACTGACAGTTCTGACATAACGTATTTGTATTTGTTGTTTAACAACTACCCAAACTCTTTGCCTCTCCTTAAATAGGAGCATTTTGTTTGATTTTTGTTGTTGTTGTTGTTTTAAAGATCATTTTGGAAACACAGTCACCTTATTCATGTAATTTTTTTATACCTGTGTTCCTTTTCTCTCAATGGGAATACAAGTAATCTGGTGTCTTTTTACATAAAGGGTAGATTTGTATCAAGTACATCTAGAGGAAGCTCAAAATGTATGTTTCTTCAAAGTTTATAGGGATGTTCCTACAGACAATTCTGCAAGGCATCAAACAGTTAGACATTGTCTAGTAATGACACTTTCTATATGCTTCCTCTGGAGGGTCTATTTGAAATTTCTAGATCATGTTATAGTAACTGCAAGTTGCCTACTTACACTGATGATTTCCTTTCTTTCTCTCAACTCTACCTATCCTCCCTTTGGACACTCCTAAAGCTGTGTCTTCTCTGGGAACCCATTTCAGTGGAAGGCTGTGCTCAGATGATGCTGATCTACGGTGCCTGTGCTCACAAGGGTTCCATGGACCCCACTGTCAATATGGTGAGTCACCAATAGAACCATTCTGTTACAATTTGGCACCATCTGACACTTGCGTCTTTGTAGAGTCATGGCGATTACCTCTCTGGGAATTGGTGAAAATGGAAAATGAGTCACTAAGCAGAAATCCAGAACCACAGTATAATAAGCATCTTAAAATATGCTTTGTGGTTTAGTTGTAAATCTTCGCCATAGGAGTTCAAAGGGTCATTCTAAGAACAAGGTACTCTCCTTTGTAAAGAAGGGGTCAGACGTTAAGTTTCTCATGGAGGATGGCTTGAAATCAATGCTATGGTATGGTACTCTGTGAGATCTCTGAGCTTTATAAATGAGCAAAATACAGTAAGCATGAATTTGATGTCATGCAGTATTGATTAACCTTATACCTGTTATCTTAAAAAGAATTGAAAAACCTGGAAGTCATAAGACTTGAGTGATTCTCAACCCTTCAACACTCACTGGACATGTACCTGTAAGATTTTCTTGTGTGGGAGATTTTCAGGATTAACAATTGTTTATCTCTAACTGCAGAATGAAATCTCACTTAAAGCAGTTGGTATATGTGCCCTCTCGTGTCTACTGCTCGGAGTTTTCAAAGTGAAACTATGAAGTTTCTGGGGTCCCAGCACTCATGGGCTTTTTTTCTCTTTCACACATGGGATTGAGGACAGCACTCCCATCTTCTATGGTGACTTCAGAAATGTTCTTGTGAATGAATTTCCAAACTCTTCTTTGTTTTGCTGCTTAAAAAACATATGAATTAAGATAAAGCTGATGCCCGATGATCTTACACATGAACTACAGGACTGATTTGGAGATGGGGATCAGTGGAGGGTTGGAGCTCCAGCAAGCCCCTTTACTATTTCCCAATGTTTTAGAAAAACAATGAAAAAAATCACACAGGGGTCCATGAAAACAAATTATTTGATTTTAAACAAAATATAAAAGTTGTTATCTAAATTGGTACTACATTTCCTTATTTTGGCCCATAATTGTTGTGGGTAATTACAGATGTTATTGGTTCATCAAGAAATTTTCTTTAAAAACCATAATGTTTTTACTTTACAAATGCATTGTTTTGTGGAGCAAATCTTGCAAGACATCAGGTCCCAGAGGAAAAAGGTAATAAAAGAGGCATATGGTAATGATAATGCCCCAGTTATAACTGCATTAATTTATTCTTTATCTTTTACATCAGTGTTTGAATATTTTGATTATTACAATTTAATAATTGCCATACACCAAAGAAATTAATGTGCTCTCTGAAATTCAAGTAGTCAGTTTTTTTTCCATTTGTATAGTTTGGTTTGGTGAATATCCTGGAAATTAGATTCTCTTTTATACAACATGTCTGTACACCACAAAGTCTCCAGAGTAGCAGGATAACAGCAGCATACAAAAACCTGTCAGGAGTCCTTGCTTCACCAGCCAGCTTCCTTTAGACCCTAACACTGTTTCTTCTCCTGCTACAGGACTCTTGTTGAATATGAAAAGGAATTGACAAGGCCTAAGGAGTTTGTTCCCAAAGGGTACATGTTTAGAGTTTTCCATGTGATTGTACTTCTCCCGTCAAAATGAGGCACCCCAACTATGAAAACTAAGGTGGCCTTAATAGAGAAATTTTGAAGACTTTCTAAGAAATCAAGCAATTGAGAAACAAATGGAGAAACCACCCGTGAAGAAATTACACAAGCCAAATTATAAAAGATGACAAATTCAAATTGAAAAATGCTGTTTGTAAAGCATAGCTAAGAGGACAAATCCTATCAAGCAAACTGATGATTGCCTGGTGAGGCAGCCCCTAACCTTTGGCTTCTCTAGGGGTTGGAGTTCTTATGTGTGGTATCTGCCCCCATATGTGTGCATATATCTCAGTAAAATAATTGTAGTGTTATGTCTGAAATTATATATAAAAATCACCCAAATGTTAGAACATTAAAAAATTCCAGTTACTACAAAATCGCAGTCTATGTGATAGCACAAACTAAAACTATACAGAACTTCTGCTGCATGTATATAACCATGATGGACATCCCCATACATATTTATGCTCATGTGGCTATGAAAATGCAAGGTCATTTTACACACAGGCTTTTAGTGAAGGCCCTTCTGTTTTGTTTTGGTTTGGTTTGGTTTTCATCTCTTCTCTTCCTTCCCATCTAGTGTGTTCTCCCTTCATTGCCTGTTGGTGAAATCCGTTTATGCCTTTCTCTAAGTCACCTGTACAGTAGTCTATTGCATCAGGATACCACAAGTTTTTAACTATTGAGTGATAAACATTTGTTGCAAATTTTGTTCTAGTGATGATGTTGTACTTTACATTTGTAAAGAATATCCCAGCTGTGATGTTGTGTTGGGGTCAATGAGTACAGTCAGTTCAAATTTTTGTATACTTAAGATTCAATTTGTGTGTGTGTGTGTGTGTGTGCACGCACGCACACGTGCTGTGTGTTATTGTGAATTATAATTGAGGTAATCTTCTTTTAATTTATTTTTGATATTTATTTTTAAGAGAATCCTCCCATCTTTATTCAGAACCAAAGATGTGAGGCCTATCTCAAATCATCAGGGTCACTGTAAAATGAGTTTATAGCCTGGAGTTTAGTTGGTGTTACCAATGTATATGGGAAGAGAGAACTCTGAAAATAAGCCTGTTGGCCTTTTGAAAATGGAGAAAAGACTGTAGTCCTAGCCAGAATGGGAACATGCTAATAAGTGAGAGCAACACTTGAAGTTAATAATGATTCTAAAATTGCTGATCTACTTAACTCATTTGAAAAAAAATCTGGCTCTCATAAAGCGAATGAAGCAAATGAATTTGGACAATTAGGAAGTAATGAAAAGCTTTCTGAAATAACTATTGATTAAAGAAATAAAAAGGAATACTTTGAAGATCTGAACACATGTGAATCAAACCAGATAGCTGGTAGTGAAGTTTCCTCTTTTTTGAAATTTTATGGCTTTAGAGAGAATTGGGAATTACATGCACTTATTAATTTCATACATGAAGTCACACCTCATTTCCACACTTCTACTGTCTCTTCCTTTTTTTCTAGGTCAGAAATCAAGCAAAATGATAATGTGACTAATGGTAAAAGTTTCCTTATTTTCTATGCATATATTTGTTTATTCCCTGTCAGTCAATCAAATCATGTATCAAGTCTCCCACTTAGTAAATATTTATATAACAGACTGTGCACCAGATACTTCAACTGTGAAAACAAATGGTTTAGTCTTAGTCTGGTGGGAAATAGAGACCAGAAAGCCTATGATGATTATGTAGCTCACCATTGCCATGATGGAGGATAGCTCTGTCCTAAGAGAAAGAGGAGGGTATTCATCCATGTCATACCAGGAGGGGAGGAGAAATTTCTTAAAAATGATTGTAAGTACAAAATACAACTAGTTCTTAAATGTAAACAGAATAATCACATGTTATTTGATAGAGTTATTAGTGTATTTTCCATACACATAAGACATAAGAAGCACAGTAGATAAAGGGGCAACAACAACAACAATTCCCTTGGCTATAGAAAGTGCTGAGCAAGAAGTGGCCAAATTGTGCTGTTAACCTATAGCCAAACCTGGTGGTTTTGAACTTCACACACAGAGGGATAACTGATGGAATTCTTCGTAATTCTATTACCAAATTCTGTTTCTGAACAATACACTTCTTTGGCGAGGATTTACTCATTTATTCATATATTTATCCCTCTGCTTTGCTGCCCATGCATGTGTGTATGTTAGTGCTCATGCATGTACACATATGGAGACCAGAAGAGGGCATATGGCCATCCTTCTTTGTTTCCCCTTTTATTCTTTTGAAGAAGGATCTCTCCCTGGACCTAGTGCTCCCTTTTTCTCAGCTAGACCTGAAGCCAGAAAGTCCCAGCATCCCTTGTCTCCACCCCTTTCAGAACTGGGTTTATAGCTTGTATGGGAGGCCCAAATTGTTCCTCGGGTGCTGAAATCTGAATTCCCATCCTCGGGGTTGTGCAGTAAACTGCTGAGCCACCTTGCCAGCACAAGTTGAGGTGTCTTGGACATGAGCATCATTTGTTTGTCCATTTCCAGTACTTAGGGAAGAATCCACAAAGGTCTTCACCACCTTTAAATGTGGCATTTAGATATATTAAAAGTCAGAAGTTTATGTAATGATGTCTGGGGAGTTCTCAGGCAGTGTGAGCCTGAGGCTGGGCCTCACTGTTGACTCTCTATGCTGTATTGGCGAAGGTGCTTGTATTTTCAATCTCAGCATTATAATTTTCAAAGAGACAAATAAAATCCAGTTTTCCTGAGGTTCAACAATGTTCCCATTGTTTTCAGAGTTTTGTATGGATAAAATGACCAGTGTTCTAAAGGTTATGGAAGGAATATTCTTACCTCACCTTCCTATACTATGGAGTCATAGAGACTGGTCAAAGAGCAAACAGTAAGAATGTAGGACACATGGGATCCATACATAATATGTTCTGGCTTCAGAGCCTGTTATCTCAATCTGAAAGCTGGGATGTTCTTCTGCCAGTGTTCAATGTGCCTGTATGGTGTTTGTCAGGTTGTTATTTGTGAGAGGCCTAAGGGATGACACATGTGTAATTTATATGCTGAAAGCATCTTTCAACCTCTACTACTTCTTATTTTCTGTAGGAGGTCTGAGGATCCTAGAGGGGGAGCTATTGTCAGAGGAGGAAGAGCTCCAGTTGTTTTGCTTCTCACTCTGGGGAATCTGAGCAAATCTTTAAGGAGGCTGAGTCACAGGAGTAGCTGACCTTGAGGCAGGTTTCAGCCAAGGAATTGTATTGATGATGTATAATACTGACGGATAGAAAGCTGAGCCAAAGCATTTTCTTAAGTTGAAGGGAGGTGAGAGGTAACTTACTTTTATAGCCCTTAGGTGCAACATCCTGCTCTCCCAGTTCTAACTCCATCACTTGAATCAGTTATATGGCACATGTGTGAAATATGTTTTCAGTTAATCCTCATATTGTTTATACATCACATTA